TATAGGAAACTGATTTAGATGATGAAAAAGAGCATTTGAAGATGCGTTGATTCTTATATGATAGACTTTTCTAAGATATTTTATGAAGCATTTTAATAATTTTTGAAAAAAAGCATTTTCTAATTTTTTTTAGAGATACGTGAATTTCAACATATGGCACAACTCGAATTATCTATGTACAAGGAGAATCTTTTTGAATATTTTCGATTTATACGAAATAACAAGGATGTTTTAAATGAACTGTTGACAATAGCAAGTGATTTAGAAAAAGCAGGTTCATCAGAAAAGCAAAAACAATTAGTGCAACATTTAATTGAAATTAAGGAAAAAACTGGTTTCGTAAGTTTTACTTTTTTTATTGAACTAAATTAAGAGCCTATTTTCATTTTAGGTTAATGTCGGTTATTTACGAAAATAAAAGATTGAACTTTGATTTCGTTATAAATTTTGATGCAAAAAATAAATTCATCTTTTATCACTTAAATGTTATTGAGAAAACTTCTTGTCTATTGTTGTGGTTGATTAATTAGAATAAAAGCTTTTTATTATACAATTTTTCATTATTTCTCGTTATGGGTTAGTTTTGGGTATATATGGCTTTTGTCTGTCGAAGACATGTAAATTGAAAAATAAGAAGTTTTTCTTAGTAAAACATTTTTTTTAAGATGGAACTGTATTATTGTGTCTGGTGCTCCGGTAAAACATTTATTTTTTGAATGTAAAAAGAAGTTAACTTTCCTAATATTTTTGGTACGACGCATCTTGAAAAATATAGTGTTAAATATTTTCATACAAAGAATCAATCAATTTTTGTTTAAATGATACATTGTAGATTCCTAAACAGGGTTAACTCTAACAAATATATGATTATATGTAATTTTCTTTTCATAAAATTTTTGTAACCGAGAAAACTATCTGGAATTGAAGTTTATCAGCGGTTTCAATTAAGTTTCGATGATCAAAACTCAGACGAGAAAAAACAACAACTTGTTTAGCCTAGAAATGATTCTAAAAGATATCTAAAGAATTTTTATGATTTCATTTTGGTATGTTAGTCTTGATTAATTACTGATATTTATCTTCAGTCTTTTTTTCTTGGCGTATTTTTTTCACTTTTTGAAATAGATTCGTATGAATATTTAAAAGATTGTTCCAATTATCTTTTCTTTTGTTATCTAATTAGCAAACTTATACTGCTATTTCGTTATTTAAATAGAAATAAGAATGGTGAAAAATTTGTCTTTGCATTTCTCTGAAAAGATAATTGTTTTCTGTGATGGATGATAAAAGCAACGAGAATATATTTAATTACTTTTTTTTTTATAAAATTAAATTTATTTTTCTGTTAATATAGTGTTGCTTGTCTGCGTGTGAAAGATAGTCTATAAAAAAAAATTCAATTGAAAAGATCTCAAAAAAGTATTCAATCAATTCCTTCTGGATTTTAATACACCTGGGATGCTGACGACAGCCGATCAAATAAAAAAAGGGCACCGTTTCGCTCTTGATCTTGGTGATTTTTAGTTCTGGTATCAATAAAGTTTTAAGCTTTGGTCTCGATCTCTCACATCTCTAATCGGAACTCTCCCTGCACTCTTGAAACTCTGAATAAACTTTTCCAATTCGAATGTGATAGTCGCGCTGAAGATACGACATACTATTTGGATTTTTTTATTCGACGAATAACACATTCATATCTTCTTATCGATTAGATAGTGATATTATATGGAAATTATAATCAAGCCGTACTTCTAGTCAATAGTTTCTCGGGAAAGAAATGAATATATGTATCATGGCTCTACTGCACATAGTAAAAAAAATTATATATGTGAATGAAGGGGCAGTGACAAAAAGAAAAAACGATGACGAAAAATTTTTTTGCTTATTTTCTTGTGATTTTATTTAGGAGACCTATTTAGGCATTATATCAATTTGAAATTATTTAGTCATCAATATTCTTTCGTTCTCTTGCATTCTGCTTTTTTATATTTTACCTAATTCGCTTTTGTCAGCGAGAGTCTTGTTCTCCTCGTCTCTTCCCTACTACTCTTTCTTTGTATGTTTTATGTCCATGGATCTCAATCGAGAACATTGACAAGTAAATGATGATTAGTTGAGACGCCATCGCATATTTTTTTTCCTTCAACATCGTTATTAAAATCGAAACACGCTTAATAAATTGAATGCAAGTTATGTAAATCTTTTTAAATCGACTCGCCGACAGTGTCGATGCTTATCTGTGTAGAGTGAAAGGCTACTGAACATTTTGAATGTTCCGTTTTGCTATAAATTATCGAAAACGATTATTATTTTAACTTAGAACTACCGTTGAATTTATCTTTCATATACTGAATGTGATCCTTTGTTAAACGAGAAGAACTATTCTGTATTAAATTTTTTTCATTAAATGACAAAGAAATACAATTAGAATGCTTCTTTTTTTTATCTCTAAACAATCATTTAATGATCATTGAAAAAACTTTACTAATCTATATCATTTTGAATTTTATCAAATAATGAGACAATTGCTTAGTTATTATCAAATACATATCATTTCAGACACAATTACTAAAAACTGTTCGAACTTCGTTAAGAAAATAACTTCTTTTAAGAAATAGAATTGATTTCTTATTAATATTATAAAGTTCATTATCAAATTCTTTGTCAAGATCTTTTTCAGTAATTAATTCTACTTCCGATAACGATGATTGTGTCTCTTTCGCACAACTAAGATTAAGTAAATATTGAAAAATATGATTTTTATCAAGTTCATCTATATAGTTATGATCAGATGATAAGTTTTCAATAACATCTTGATCTGATATTCGTTTAGTATCATCAAAATAGTTCCGCATATGATCATCATAAGAATTTTTCGATGATTCTAGCATATTCACAAGTTTCATAATGATTATACCAAATTTAGCATAAAGATTAACAAATGCTGTACAGTCGATTTCATTACCTGAATAAGAGAAACAATCATAGAGTGCATTTTGAAAATTTTCTTCACCAAAAGAATTTTTCTCAACAGCATTTTGAAATACATTAAAATCTTCGTCAATTAATTCCATTTTTCATATAAATTTTCATTTCGATAGATGACATGACAGAACATTTCGCTACTTGCGTCCTCTTATATTATTTTAAATATTAAAATACATATCACTTCTGATTCGTTTATTAGTACAAACCAATAAAATAGCAAATGCTGTCGTTGTCAATATGGCGGCGATATTATTCCAAAGTGGACATACATACATACATATAAATCTATTGTTATTTTCTTTAGATTTCTGATGACATCTCGATCTTTGATGATTATTACTTTTGTTCTTCTATCAATATATAGTTGGTGTGCTACATCAGTTGTAGCAACCAACTTATATCCAGCTAATTTAGATGGATTAAAAAATCAATTTCAAACAGCCATGAAATCATTTTCTGATGTAGCATCATTACATTATTCTTTAGCTGGTATTAAAGAACTTGGTGTACAACCACCTGATACATTTTGTAATGATATTAAAAAATTAGTTGATAAATCCAATATTGAATCAATATATCATGCAACTGAAGCAGCTAAAGTTTTAACGAATTGCAAAGTATATTTATTTAAAAAACAAAACACAGTTGTTTTTTTTAATTAATTTTATTTTTCTAGTTATCTGTTGATGATTATCGTTCAAAAATAACTTCAACAATTCAATCAGATAAAAGTACAACAGCTGAAATCTATTATGCTGTATGTTCAAGTGTTAACCTTGGCTTAAATATTGATGAATCAACTATTGAAAAACGTCTTAATACATTATCTAAAACAGATGATAGTATTTTAAGTCAAGGTTATGCATTACTAACAGGTGCACAATTAAGTCCAGCTATAGCTAAATATTATGCTGATACAATCAATGATCTTGTTCAACAAGCTGATGAAATTGATGGACGTATATTACAATATGAAGGTGGTATTAGTACAACAACATTAGTATTTAATGCATTTTATGAAGTTGCTGAAAAAGCTGGTGCATCAATTAAAATTGATCCAAAACAATTAATTAAATTTGCTAATTATTTTTCAACAAAACGACATGTTGCTACATTACGCAGTGCTTATTATTTAACAAAAGCATTTAAACATTTATCGGATAATAAAGTATATAGAATTTTTTTTTTAGTAAAAGAAAATAAATAAATTTTCATTTAGAATTCAATGCCAATTGTTGTTTCACGTGTTAGTTCTTCAGAAGTTAATCAACAAAATCCATCCGTACTTGTTTCAGTTACAAATCTTTTTGGACAACCTGTAGGAGAAATGACTGTTACTGCTGATTCAGCTAAACGTAATGAAGATGGAGTTGTTGTTATATCAAAACAAAAACTTACTCCAAAAGCTAGTGATTTGTATGTTTAATTAAAGAGAAAAACAAAAGGAAACTTTATACTTTTTTCTTTTAATATTTAGTACTGTTTATGAATTATCATTTTATGATAAAAAAATTCCTCGAGGATTTTATACAATTCATTTAACATTAACCCCACGCACTGATGGAAAATTTATTGGATTAACAGATCATACCGTTCGTAGAAAAATTTTCATTTTTTGAATATGACATATATCATAAGATATTATTTAGATTGATGTTAAAGTCACATCAGAAGTAACACTTGAAAATGTTGAATTAAATATTGCAGATCGTGATAATGCTGCACAAGTGAAAACATATAAGTAATTATTTTTCTTTTCTCTGCATGACAATAAAAATAAAAATTTCTAATTTTATAGATTAACTTATCCAAATCCTTTATCAAATAATCTTGAAATTGATTATCATCAAAAATTAATAGTTAAATTTCAAATCAAAGATAAACAAACTGATGAATTTATTCGTGTACAACAAACATTCTTACGTTTTACAAATAAACAATCGAATAAAGAAGTTATTTATTTAGCAGAAGCAACTAATGGTGTTAATTCACAATATAAAGTTGAAGTGGTATGATAATGTTTGATTTTCTTCTATTGTATTGAAAATGATTATTGATTTAAACGATAGAGATTTATAAAAATGAACTAGGAATTTGTGTTCTGTAGGATCCGACAGACTCTACTAATGAATCCTGTTGTGAAAGTTCTTTATCGTATGATGAATAAATTAAAAAATGAAATATTACACGCATTAGCTGAATTCATTATTCTTGATGGTAGAATACTTAATATAGTTAACAGATCCGGTTTTTAAATCTCAAATTATACACTCATAATAAGTTATACGAGTTGACCCAAATTAAAAAGAATCAGCATGCATCTAGTGGATGGCAGCAAAGTATTAGCACAAAATATCCACTCACTTTTCGATTAGATACAATCAAATGTTTTCGCTCTTATCAAATATATTTTTAGAATTTGCTTCTGAGATAAGCAGATTGTTTCTAAAGATCCAACATAGTTATAGTATAGAATAATGTTTTGGTCAATTTTTGTATTTCGATTGAACGTTATCAAATGGAAAATAATATTTAATAGTTCGATTTTGTAGAGTAAAATTTGCTCTACAAAGGGTGCTGTTTACTTATATATGAAAGATTTTAAAACTTTGTATTTTTAAATGCAGTTTTTGAAATAGCAATTGCTGATTGCCGTAGAAACTAGTTTTTCAGTAGGAACGCATGAATGAAGGTTTTAGTGAATCGATAGAGTTGTTAGACTGATTGGTAGCTATACATGAGCAAGATAGTCTGATTCATGTGTTCTACATGCTCATCACTATTTATAAAAACATTTTTAGAATAATTTGAAATTATTGAATTGTATTCTCTATTCGATCGTGATCTCCTATTAAATCACTATATTCGTTTGTTTTCTTCATAAGAATTTGAGTAAAATATATTCATCTATGAGAAATAACAGATTTAGTTGGACTGTATGAATGTCAACAAGAGTTAATCGTAACCTATCTTTTTTTTTTGCTATCAGGATTTAACGACAAATGCAAATGATTTTCATCATCAATCGGGTGCTTATGAACTTGTTTTAATTGTTGGTGATGCTTTACTTCAAAAATCATTTTCATGGAAATTAAATGATAATATCCAATTATCATTTCATGAAGATAGTGTTCCAGATACAGATCATCTTAGTTTATATTCTGCAAAACGAGAAATTATTCATCAATTTCGTGAAGAAGAAAAACGACCACCAACAATTGTTTCACTTGTTTTTAGTGGATTAACTTTATTACCATTATTAATTCTTTTGATTTCAGTAAGACGAAGTCTTTTATTTTATTTTTGTCTTTAAGTATTTGAATTATTTAATAGTGGCTCAAACTTGGTTTTAATCTCTCTGGTTTACCATTAGGACTTAGTCCATTAGGTTTTCATATTTCTCATGGAGGTAAATGTAAAATAAACTTCAAAAACAAAATAATAATCATGTCTGATTTTTTTTCGTCTAAACTTTCAGCTGCTTTTGCTTTGATGTATTTCTATTGGAAATATTTGGATATGTTTCAAACAATGCGCTATTTGGCTTTAGTTTCAATTCCATTATTTTTATTTGGTCATCGAGTATTAGCTATATTAGCTGCTCGACGGTAAGTTAAATAGAAAATTGTTTTCTTTATTAAATTTAATAATTTTGTTTTTCTTTTAGAGAAAAAAAAGCTTGATCGATTGATTTTAATGAATACGAAAAACAAAAAGACGTTGAACAATTTGTCTTGTTTTTGTTATTGTTTTTCATTTCTTTATTATTATGTACGCTTGTCTAGGTTATATTCATTATTTCTATGTTATGTCTCTTCTTTCCAAGTTATGTTAATTCCGAGGACTTTTCTCTTTTCTGTAGTCTAGGTTATTTGATTAATACACACTACGGGTGATTACAGTGTGTGTTGAAGTTTTTTGGCTTATTGACTTTTTATTAAATGTTACGTTTTTTTTTCTTTTCTGGGATTTCCATAAAACAAAAAGGTATACTATTTTCATTATTCGCTCAAAAACAATGTTGTCTAGAGAAATATCATGACAAGAAAAGTAAACTCTATAACGAAGTCAACACTATATATATATAGTTTGTTCAAATATTTTCTTCAATAAATTACTTATGTCATCCAAGATATTCAAATAAATCTATTAAAAAATGATCTGAATGACATTTACTAGAGGAAGTACAACTGGATTTATGTTAGCAAATAAAATGATTAGAATATATCTAACAGATGCTAAAACATACAACTCTTGATAATGTGATAAATATTTCTTTTACATTCATTGTAAGTTTATTATATTATTAATAAATTATTATTATTTTTTTGTTTTTGAAGAGTCAAGATCTAATAGTAAACCAGAATATGGATGTAATAATACTGTTACATCATTTTTTAATATTACACTAGGATAATCACATAACATTTTATTAAATAATTTGAAAATTATTTTCACCAAACCTTGTATTGTTAATGCAGAAAAGGGTACTTAATATATGTACGAAAAGTCAAAAGTTAGCACGCAATCAAATATCCTTTAGTTTCCTGTCTGTAGTTTTGCTTGTCTTAACTATTCATTTGCGGGAGTACTTTTTTAACTTTCATCAATCATGATAAAGTATAAGTTTCATTATCCATGACTTCATAAAAAATCCAATTTTGCACAGAATGAAATATATCTTGTTGAATTAAAACAAATAATTATCAATGATTCCTTCACTATTCTTTGTATAGAAAAATCAATCGATCAGCAATATGTTTTTTTTTCTTGATATTTATACAAAAATTTTGTATTCAAAATAAAAAATGCAAATATGATATAAAATAAGTATGCGATCAATAGTTAATTATATTATAAATGTCAAATTACGCATCAACTCAACCCATTTTATATACAGTGTGCTTCGAAAGCCTTGCAGCAATTTTTTTTGTTTTGAGTTATGTAATTAGACGACTACACAACATTAATTTAATTCGACTATATGCCTGTATAGTAGATGTCGAATACATTATACATACATCTATTTACTACGATACAATCTTGAACATGAAATACAATAGAAAAAGAGACAAAATGATTTTGTTGGATTAGTTGATGTATTCGAAATTGAAGGGATGTGAGTATTGGTGTTGCTCTTCCTTTCAATCACACTTGCACGCTTAATCCAACTTCCACATATCGCATTTCTTCCTATCAACGGAAGGATAGTCGGGGATGTTAAGGCGTCCATGAAAAGCTCTATCAAACTGTAAACAAGAAACTTTTTTGAGTACATCCTCATCTATCAATTAATCGACTCTCGTCTTTTTCAAAGTCTTATAAAAATAAGATTTACAAGATACCGTTCGATCTCCTTTGGCTTGCGCTATAACATAGTATATTTGATTTTCCAATTCAGGATCAGTCACCTAATCCGACAGAATCTTTAATAACAATAATATTATTCTGTCGTTTTCTTCCGTCACTTTTTTTCTTAACATTGAAGTTTGGTGTTTTTTATTGAATTTTATCGCCAGGACTTTATCATATTAAATAGGTATATATATAGTATTCGATCTCTATATATAGTCAAATTAAATTAATTTTTCGTGGCGTTCATTATAGAACAAGCGAGATAGAAAATGAATTAGATATACACAAAACAAACATTTATTTCATTATGAAATAAGTTGTTTAGTTTTATTCTAATACAGAGTCGATTTAAATTAATTAGTTTTAACTCCTTAAAATAATAAATCAAAATATCATTGAAGTACAGTTAGTTTGTATTGCATCTACACATTTTTCTTAGTCTTCAGAATAAGTGTTTGAAGTTTGTTGTTTTTTCATTATTTTCAAAACATGATGGAACATATGATTATAAAAAAGTTGTCAGATAGTATAATGCCATAAAATGAAGACTAATAAAAATGGTCTATTTACCTATAATGCTTCAGTCTCAATTGAAAATTTCAATATCTTTTCTTGAAAAATGAAAACTTTAATTTGATGATTACAATGAAAAAGAAAAATCACGCAGTTACAGAATACAAATTAAAATAATTCCAGAATAATTAAAATTGTTTGATTTAAAAGAATTTGAATGTTATACATGTTTTTCTTTTTCCATCATATACATGTCAATATTAGAAAAGTTAAACAACTACTAAAATATTTTATAATCTATCATCGAGTAATTGATGAACATTAATTGATGATTCATATCGTAGACAAAGTTTATCAGTTGTTGATATTGTTATATTTAATGGAGATTCTCGTCGATTTTGAGCATTTACAAAACGACATTCACCTTTAACTTGACCAGCTTCATCAAGCATTATTAAATGACTTGTTATATATTCAATAAGAAAAAAGACATGTAATTTTTCACACCATTCCATTCTTGGTGTAAATGATACATTATCATTCCAACAGTCATTAAGTAATAATTGTTTAACTATTGTCCAATTATTTCCATCATGTGAAACATTAAATATACAAACTCGAACTTGTCGACGTAATTTTGAACGATAAGCTAATATTATTTGTCCATTTGTACTTATAGCTAAATCACTGATTTCTCCAACATGAGTTACAGACATATCATTTCTTCCATGTAATGTAATATCAGGTAATGTTTTACAAACTTTTTCTTCTTTATCATAATTTATTATAATAATTTCATCACCATTTTGACTCATAGTACTAGATGCTGCTATTAAATAAATATATGTATCATTACATGTAACACGTTTCATAGTACGACCTGGAAAATCATGAAATTCTTCAAGCTGATTTGTATTATCATGAAGAACATATAAATTTGAAGAAGTAAGTAATAAATAACCTTTAAGTATAGTTGAATATACTATATCTTGTACCCATTTATCACCATCACCAATAGTTCTATCGAAGTCATTCCAATCAATAATTTGTCGTGTTGTTGGTTGTTCGAGATCAGGTATAAATATTAAACGAGAATTTTTCGTACTTTCATTATAATCATTATAAACTAATTGATTATTATGACAACATACTGTACCAGCATAATTATCATGAGTTACAGGTATTATTTTTGGATTATTTCGTTCGATATTAACTGTTTCACCAACATCAAAATCATCATGTCCTAGAGTTTCCATTGTTGAACTAGATACAAGATCATTGTTTACTAATTCTTTTGGTTGTTCGATAGACATTGTAGAAGTAGCAATAGGTGGTTGTCCAGTAGTTGTTGATGTAGTTGTATCTAAAGGTACAACAAGTGCAGAAATAACAGATTCCGTTACATGTGTTGTTGAGTCTGGATTGAATGTATTTGGATTTAATTTTGATTGAAGTTGTGTATCTAAACTTCTATCATCTTGAATAAGTTCAGGTAAATTTGTTAATTGATCAATTTTTTCTACAATTTGTCGTTGTAATGAATGAATTGAATGTAATTGTCCATGATCAATACGTTCTGATTGTTCATTTAATGCATTATATTGAGTGCGAAATGTTCCAACATTCAAATAAGCATTTTCTAAATGTTGAGTTTGATTTAAAGCATCATCAGCTATGTCATTTATCTCCTGAATACGCTTTTGTCTCTATTAAATAAATAAAATAAAATAAAAAACAAAACATCTCTGAATTAAATATCTATTAAAAAATATTTTTTAATGGAATTTTTCTTCACAAAATCATATTACTCACATTCTTCTACTGTTTGAGTTGTCAAGTATTCACCTCATTCTGTCAAAACATATTATTTTCATAATGAAATCTATTATGCTATTGGTTGCTTATAAGAATATTTTTCAGCAAAATAATAATTATATAAAATACTGAATGTACCGTAAAGTGCAACAGTTTTTGACCTTTGTGTAAATCAACTTTCAGAAAATACATCTCGAGCATTTTCAGGAGAGATTTTTCAAAAAATTTCAAGTTTGTGAGGAAAGGTCTGTACATAGCTGTGAATAACGCAGATCATCATTGACATTCTTCGATTGAGAGAAAACCCCTCGACAACGAGGTCCACCTTCGTTGAAAAAGAGACGTTCAACTAATTTATACTATTGGAACAACAGACATCGATCTCCTAGCACAATTGTTTTTGTGACAAAGATTGCCCTTCAGACTGTCAAATACAATATTGTCAACATCCAACAACAAGATACGATTGAGGATAGATCTTGCAGTGGTCGATCTCCCAAGGTCGGTGTCAATGATAATAAAGTACTCGACGAATGGGTTCGAGCAAATAACGAGACAACGTCGGAAGAACTAGCACAAAAACTGCTGTAAAACCGAAATGAACACGTGTCCTAATATATGGTACACTGCCAGCTCAAATGAATGGATTATAAGAGTACTTTGTCCTATGCGATGACGATATTGACACAATAGCATAAATATGTACGTATTTAATGGATAATAAAACACAAGGACGAATATTAGAACCGAATAGTATTCACGGATGAGACATGTTATCAAACACTCAGAAACACCGTTCTCTAATGCTTAGAAAAATTTAAGAGACGAAGTTCAGTGAATTCTAAAGTAAAAACAGAAAATTATAGGGTGAGCGACTTCAGTATCAAGAGTCTGGTTTGGTATCATTCATTCAAGATTATTATAGGTGGACTTTACTACCTTCAAATTTCTAAAGGTGATCTTCTCCGCAACATGGTCGACTCGGGTGGTTCTAACACCGCAGTGATCTCAAACACTAAAGTCAAAAGGCAGAACAGATCCTATGCAAAGAAGTGCCGCAAATTATTGAGTAACCGTCCAAAAGCCCCAATATCAGTCCAGTCAAGAACATCTCGTGGATCATCAAACGCCGTGTTTAGAAATGAAAACCATAAAATTTGGATGAACTGAATCGTTTTATACACGCGGCATCGGACCTAATCGATTTGGTCACTCTAAATCATTTGATGAAACCGCGGTTTTAAGTTGCAGTCAAATCGCAGAAAGACAGAATCAACTATTAATTGTGATACTTTAGAATCTTCTAACATGCCTTATCTATATATATATTTAGTTTTTATATTAATCGTTTTAAACTTGTGAAACACTTGAAAGAATGAGGTCAAAGACTTTTGCACCCTACTATATTTTTCGGCCACTAGATTTGAAAAGTTGTCTCTGTTCAAATAGAAACTTGGATTTATTTAAATAAAACCTCTAATTTCTATATCTAGTATTCTACTTTAAAAATCTAATCATAATAGATTTTGACGATAAAATAATTTTTTTTTAAATCAATACTAACCCAATTTTCGATGATTGTTTTCGCATTAGTGCAATCCTTATTCTCTGTTGCATGTTCAACTTGAAGTAATTGTTCTCCAGTTTGATCATAAATATTTTCAAATTCGTGACGTATTTCTGCGACATGTAAATGAATACATACAAAATCGAATTTATCTCCACATGTACAAATTAAATCGTAGGGTCGCTCCGAACAAGAACTACAAAGCTCTCTCGATGAAGTTGATGATTGTGATGTACTTTTGATCAATGTTGGTTCAGTCATAATTCATATATATCTATATATTATATTTCTACTTGTGAGTACTATGCTTTTTTGTTTTACAGTGACATACAATACGACTAAAATGAAAGAAAAAAACAACTGAGAAAATGGTCGACAAGCAAATATCGAAAAGTTTGTTATTTTTCTTTCTTCGTTCTGTTTCTCGGAGAAAAAGAAGCAAAGAAATACCTTGTCACATTTCAATGAAAATATCGAAGGTGAAGCAAGGCAAGTCAGATATTTCACTTGCTGTTGTTGTTGTTATGCAACAACTATACGAATGAAAAGAAAAACATCATTCATCCAACATATATAAAGTCCAACTTAGAAAGAAGCAAACACTTGATGACGGTAAAACGACTGATAAAGTTTCACTGATGAGACTTTTTTCGTATTTTGTCAACAATAGACTTTGTTTTCAAACATTCATAGGAAAAGTCTGTGTAAAAACAAAAAAGAATCATTCGTCGTAGTTTTATTTGTTTTTCCAACTATTATCGATATGCTTACTTTGTAAAGTGTTGCATAATGAGCAAATAGATAAGAAACGAAAGAGATAAAAAGGCTACAAAATAATTTTTCATAATAGATGCAGTCTAGTGAGTGAATTACGTCGGCATTTATTTGAAGACTATTATATCGATGAAGAATTATTTTCAATTGATGTTTTTCATTTAAAAATAATACATTTCAATACGATTTTCTTGCTAAATAACATTCAGATATAGTAGTCGAAAACAAATACCCGAAGTTTAATTCTTTAGTCTCAAAGTTCGACCATAAATCAAATAGAGTACGCAGAATTCTAACCGCAAGGACTAATTAGGACTTAATCAACCTTCATACATAGAAGATAGAAAGTCAACATAAATTTCTTTTCTCCAACGAATATATTTCAACATAGAAAACAAATTTTATGGCGTTAGACTTTTCAGTTGACCGCTCAGTACGGCCTCTATCGACAATAAAAATGGGTTTTAGATTGTTTGATTTATGAAAAAATCATCAAAAAATGTGTCATATTTTCGATCAACTTCAACTATGTACTTGGAATTGTTTCCAAGGAATGCTCTGATCGAATCATGTTTTTCCTGAACGTTTCACGACTGTAGGCATCGATAAAGGAGAGGTCCATGTTGAGACCATTCTAGACCATAGAGACTCCCCTCCACCTCAAGATTGTAGTGCATTGAAGTACCCTATCTATGACATAATATAGACATGTGAAAATTCATTTGTTCGTAAGAAAATGAAGATTATTGTATTTATAAACCGCATTTACATCGTAAACTCTTGTGGCTGAGGCTTATCGACCTCGGCTTGTTGTTTGCGATCAGAGTTTACCGAGTTCTATTTCTAGTCAAAATGTCAGACAAAAAGGTTTAAAGTTTATGACCTTGTCACTTGATAACGAGGGTTCTTGTGACTGTTGTATATTTAAGATTGTGAATAAGATAACAGAATCTAATGTTTCGCTCTTATATAAACTATCTTTATAAGAATTTCCTATACGGAATGTTCCAAAGACTCGTCTTAGGAGTGTTCATTAATATCTCGTATGGAATTTAACCGACTTAATCGTTTTTTGTTGGGAACTCACATACATTTTGAAGAAAATAATGAGAGGAAGTTTTAGGACGAAATTCTTCTTCATTACAAACTTGTTTTCAAGAGCTTCTTAATAACAGAAAAAGGTACTAAACGACATTAACGATAAGATTTCGATTGTTTTAGAACAGATTAAAACCTTTCTCGAAATCTATAAATGTCAAAATAAGATCATCTTCATTAGTAACGAAGTTCAGATCATCTCTAATGATCAAACAAGAATTTTTAGTTAAAATAGGTAAAGAAAGGACTAGATATAGACTGTAAAAAAGATATTTGTACTAATTTTATGAAATTAATGTCGTTGAAAATCAATAAACTTGTTGAAAAGTCTTCCAAAATAACAAAGGAAAAGCTCAACGACAATTGTGACATTTGACAAAATGAATGACAATAAATTATTCAACATGTTGCACTAGCTTGCTGATTTCTACGATCGATTGAATATTGAATGACGAATCGAAATACTTCGATGAAAACATATCAGCTTCTCTTTGATTCATCATGTCATGAACATGATTTACAAGATCTCGGTAAAGTATTAAAAATCTTGATATCAAGATTGTAAGGGAATTTCAATAAAAAAAATTCATTTTCTAGACGAGTTTGCTTTTCATTTCAATCGATTTATCAATAAACATAAAATAAAAACTAATGTAGATAAAATAATTTTAAAACATCAAGTTTGATTTAAAATGTGAGCTGATTATGAAGATAAATCAATAAAACAAAACATATTCGTATCATGTTTTTCTGATATGTTACAAATGATAGATTTATATGCTATGGCTGATAGAGACTATTATTAACATCTATTGTTGAACTAAATTAAATTAAATAGGATGTTAATAGAAAAGAAAAAATAATCAAATTGTTTCAGTTTTGAAGAAATGATCATCTTTATTTTTTCAATGAACTGTCCGAACATCCTGTAGTTAGAAGACTGTCTTTGTATTCAAAAAAGACCAGGTATACATAGGACCAATGAAGCTTTATCAATGCTAAACCTATCATTAATTTCAATGAGAAATATTTCAGCATGAAAGTTACTATTTGTTCTAATAATCATTGACGTTGTCCAAATAATAAGTAAAATTACTTTCTATAATCGATGTCTGACCTACATTGTATCTGTTGACAAATGATCAACAGCAATTGTCTATTCAGTTTTGTTGCTATTACAATAAAGAAAAGATATTTGGTAAAGATAATTTCATCATATAGTCGATATGATAATTGATGAACAATTATAATCTTATGAATAAAACCAAGTTTGAAAAGTTTATGTGTTACAAAAAAATGGTTTGTCCTCAATCGAACGTCATTGATACAAAAGCTTTGACTAATAAATAATGGCGATGTTTTACATAATGTCAGATTTAATCTAGTTTATCTTATTTTATTCTAGCAAGACGATAATTGCAAGCTGTGCATGTTAATATCTTTTAAAAAAGTGTCAAATCAAAAGGATAAGCATTTTTGCATCACTAAAAAGAATATATTTACAACACTATATTAAAGAAAAAATGAGAATTAAAGAAAATATTATGAGGCTGAGAAAAAAGTTTAACATAATTTCCTTACTCTTATCAAAATAAAAAATAGTATTGTTTCAAGAGATATTTGTTTTATTTCTCTAACTGAATTATATTTCATTTTTTAAAAAGCAAAATCAACATTGTGTGAATTTGTCTGAAAATGTTCAGGAGCGAACGCTTTCACTGGATTAATCACTTTTTTATCAAAAGCTAATCGATTATAGTTTTATCAACCAAGCTAATTTCGAATGTAACCATAAGAAATTCTCTTAAGTCTTTATAGACTGGTTTTCTAGAAAATCAGTTTCGCATACGAACAAATTTATCGCAAGGAAAAAAATGTTGATCTGTTCGGATTATAGAGCATATTGAATTGCTTAGAAAACAGCCATTTTGCTTCATGCAATAGATGCACATCAACGTTTCACTGTGAAAATCTTCATGATAATATAATTTTATTTAAAAATTATATTTGAAAAACAGAAAAGATAATCTAAGGTAATCACAAACGGATTTCCACCAAATGTTTGTTTGTTTGAAAAATCGGACTTCTAGAAAATCAACTAATAAAAACCTAAGAAGATCCCTTATAGTCTTATTCGTAAGCAGCATACTCGATAGTCTACTAGTGTTCGATAGACAAGCGATCGGTCATTTGCAAATGTTTCCTTGTGAATGAGAAAATTCAAAATTTGAAATTTAGAAATCAGTTAATATGTAAATGATTCTTTTTGATATATAGAACTATCACATATTTATGTTGAAGAAACCTAACAAATATAAACGACAATAATAGTATATTTCTTCCTAAAGATTTGTAAAAGCAAGAGTACGAAAGGAAAATGGATATTTTTTGAAGCCATTCTAATTAACCGATTAATAATGATGTAACAAACTGATCAAGCCAGACCAGTTCAAAAACTCCGAATGAAGACATGAAGTGGGTGCAAAGTGTAGTAATCATCTTTTCGTCGACACACACCCTTGTATCATTGAAATAATTAATTCCATTATAATAATGTGGTGATGGAAACATATTGTCATCGAAAAATGAGCCAAACTCGATAATCTAAATCACTTACTGATTATTTTCTTTTTAAATAAACATATATAACTGCATCCAGAGTCAAAAATCTAAGACAATATGTCTTTGTTTTTAAATCGAATACTTCAATGAACAAAGAATTTTTTGTAGAACATTTAAATATAGTTGTAATCTTTGTTTGTACTCTATGTAAGATTAAACCAACGTATGATGCATAGATCATATATTATTGCATTACTTTTTATCAACGTTTTGAATGTGTGTTTGATTTTAGATTATAGATTATTTATTTATATATATATATATATCGTTTTAAATGGTCGACGTTGATAATAGTAGTAAGTATATAAAAAAAAACAGGCGTGTTCTTCTCACCTTCATCTGTCATTGTGTGTTATTGATCATCGGATTAGAGGGTGAAAGAAAGGAATCAATTGTCACACTACGATTGTGTCGTATTTTCTTTATAGATTTCTTCGTTTTTTTTGCTTGCCATTATTGCAACCGTAGTTGTTGTCGACTAGCAGTGAACTGTAAATAGAGACTAAACTTTACAAAGAGATCAAGTTGCTTGAACATACTCTTCGACACGCATACGTTTATTTATCTAGACACTGTTCGTGATCAATGAACAAATTGAATATGAAAAGTGTTTTCTAACACAAAAACTTTTGTTTTTGTAAAATATGAAGTTTAATCAAGTGTATGTATGCAGTATCGGAAATCGATTATTTCTCTCTATTTTCTTTTCTTGATTGTTTCATCCGGAATGCTCATGCAAATGTAAAAACAAACTTTTCAATAAATAT